TCATTACCTGTGGTAAAGTTAGTGGCTAAGCTACAGATAATATAAAATAAATTAACAAGAGTAAAGCAAAACAAATATTATATATGTTTTATATGACATAGTAGACATGATGTGGGGGTGGGAGGGGACCGAGACCCAATGGTGGCTATATAGCAGTGTGATTGAGGGTAAAGTGCTATAAATCTTTCAGTGATAAAAGTAGGAGAAATGAGCAAGGCCTACTCAGGTTGTTACTGGACCCTGGTTATCATGCAAGCCACCTCTAGAATCAGTCATATGACTTCATTTCATGAACATATGTTATAAAATTATTTTATGGTTCAGGGGAGCAAAGGGGGAGGCCATTGTGTGATATTCTTGCTTCTGTTATTTTCTCAATTTCCTTCAGCATAAATACTCAGTATGACCAAGTGCCTTATCTGGGGTACTGTGTTCTGAGTCCCAAAAGGTACACAAAATTATGTTCACAGCAAAAAATGTTGCCAAAAAGCAGTGTGGTGGTTTGAATGAGAAATGCGCCCCCTAAGCTCACATATTTGAACTCTTGGTCCTTGGTTGGTATTGTTGTTTGGGGACGCCACAGCACTTTTAGAATGTGGCACTTTGCTGGAGAAAGTCTGTCACTGATGGTTTGCTTTGAGAGTTTGCCCCACTTCGTTTGCTCCTTCTCCTTCATTTGTGGTTGACCACGTGATCTGTCAGCTTCCAGCTCTGGCTGTCTGCTACCACATCATCCCTAACATTATGGACTCTAACCTTCTGGAACTGTAAGCCTAAATAAACCATTCTTTATTTGTCATTGATCATGGAAACAAAAAGTAACCAAAACAGAAGTTGGTACTAGAGAGAGTGGGGCTGCTGCTGTGAAGACCATGTCTTTTGGAAGAAAGATGAAGAATTTGGAACTCTGGAGTAGAAAAGCAGTTAAAACACTATAAGCAGAGGTCAATGGGCCAGCGTAGGGGAGGTCTGAAAGGCAGTAGTGCTGAGAGCAATATAGACTGTAGAGGCCTTGCTCAAGAGGATTCAGAGAAGAACAAGGACAATATTGCCAACTGGACTAGATTGTGTGATATTTCGACAAAGAATCTGGATGTCCTGAGAATTTATGTAAGGCTGAATTCGAAGTAATTGACTAATTTATCAGAGAAAATTTTAAGAAAACAAAATTCTGAGTCTGTGGAATGATTATTACTGACAACTCTTATGCCGGTCTCTAATGAAAATGGGCAAGTGGGACAGAAAGAAACAAACTGTTCAGTTTGGAGAGAAAAGGAGTTCAGGAAGATTAATGGTACAGCCAAGGCCTGTGTTTGAAGAGAGGCTCCTTTAAAAAGAAGTCTCAAGCTCTGCACTGGAACAACAGGAAGGGTGCCATCAGGGAAATACACCACCCAAGTAAGTTTCCAACTTGTGTAAGGCAAAGGCCCAAAGGGGTTTTCTGCTCCTAGAAAGCGATTTCCTCAACATACAAAAGCTGTTGTTACTGTGATCTAAGGAAGTGAGGGTCCATGACAAGTTGGCAGCCAAACAGCACTGTTGTCCAAGTGGGTACTGGCTTTAGAGTCATGAAAGATGCAAGAGTAAGGAAACTGTGGATTCTTCCTCCATGGTTTCAGAGAGCTGCTGAGGCCAGGCAATGTGTGGCAAGGGAGTCTGCAAGGAGGCCCTGTGAAGTCAATGAGTGAAGCTGAAAGGTGAAGCCTGGGTTTCCGTGGTAACCCCAAGATGCTGGCAATGCTAAAGTCACAGTCAAGGAGAGAAGCATATAGGGAGTGGAAAGAGCCAAAGAGAGGGAGAGATGTATGTTGCAGACAACAAAGCTGGAGAGGTGGAGTCATCTAAGTGCTTTACAATAAAGTCCCAGATAACAGACATAGAGCTATGGGATTTGAAATTTGTCCTGCTGGGTTTGGTCTTATTTTGATCCAGTATTTCCCTACTATGCCCCCATTCCTCCCATTTGGAATGAAAGTGTTTATTCTGTACAATTATATGTTGGAAGCCTGTAATTTGCTTTTTTATTTTACAGGAAGTCATAGTTAAGAGATTGCCATGAATCTCAGAAGATGACTTTGAACTTTGAGACAGTATTGAAATTGTTAAGGATAGGGGACTTCTAAGGTTGAAATAAATGCATCTGCATTATGGTAAGGCCCCCCTGTGTGGGCCAGGGAGTAGAATCTGGTAGTTTAAATGAGAAATGTGACCCGTAAGTTCACATATTTGTCACTGGGGGTGGGGGAGTGGGGTAGTACTTAAAAACTTTATAAGCCTGATCCCCCCATCCAGTTTGCTCTCTCTGCTTCATATTTGTGGCTGAAGATGTGATCTCTCAGCTTCCTGTTCTGGCTGCCTGGTGCCATGCCATCCCCACCATGATGGACTCTAACCCTCTGGAAACATAAGCCAAAAAAAAACTCTTCCTTAAGTGACCTTTGGTCATGGTATTTTATTTTGTTGTGGGAATAAAAGGTAACTAATACAAGCAGCAACAACACAGAGATCCACAGATAAATAAAATTCAATTTTTCAACAATATAAAAATGAAGCACTAATTTATGCTACAAGAGATAAACCCTAAACACATCATTCCACATAAAAGATGCCACTTAAAAAGATCACATACTATGATTACATTAATAAAAATGTGTATAAATAGATAAAGTAGCTTAGTTTTAGCAGCAACTGAATGCTAGGAAAAATGGGATATGACTGCTGAAAGGTACAGGATTTCTTTTTGCATTAATGATAATATTCTAAAGTTGATCATTGTGATACTCATAACTTTGTGAAGAACTTAAAAACATTGAATTCTACCCTTCAAATGGATTAAGTAGTATGTAAACAATATTTTATAAAGTTTTTTAACAAAAGAAAAAAAATCAAAGACTACTTATTGACAATGCTAATCATAAAACAGAAAAATGTAGATGAACTTACAAAATACTAGAATAAGACAGCTGGGAAAATTTGTTTATCAGATCAAGATAAAAGAAATGAATTGCATTTCTGTATTATAGAAATAATTTTAAAATATAATTCAAAATATATATCTTGCCTTAATACAATGTTGTTTATAATAATATTAGTGGCTACAGAAATATCTAATAAAAGTGAGCAATATCATTTAGAGGACATTATAAAACTATATTTTTGGGCAGAAGAGATGGCTCAGCGGTTAAGACACTGGTTGTTCTTGCAGAAGACATGGGTTCGAATCCCAGCATCCACATGGCAGCTAACAACTGCCTGAAACTCTGGTCCCAGGGGATCCGACAGCCTCTTCTGTCCTCCACGGGCATTGCACAACACAGGTGCACTTACCTACATGCAGGCAATACACACATACAAAATAAGAATAAATTTAAAAAATTTTAAAAACAAAAAAAAATTATATTTCACATACATAGGTAGTAGAATTACAATTCTTTCAAAATAATTTTTAAAATTAAGTGTAGTTAATACCAGTTGTTTTTCTAACATTATTTACTAACAAATGCTTCTTAATATTATATACTATATACTATAATGCTTCTTATATTATAAAGAGCTCAGAAAGAATGAAGCAGACTTTGCAAGCCAATATTGATTCAAATTAAAAAACTACAATGTCTAAACTCACAAAAATCATTGTGTAGAAACAAACCCATACACACAAGGAAACTTAGATTATATCCTAAATCAATAAATGAATGAATAAACTATTAAACAGTATCTGATAATGAGTTATAAACAAGTAAATACTTTAGGATGGAAATTGTTTATGATATAAAATTCTTAACCAAACCATTCAAGAAGTAAATAAAACCCTGACTCTATCAAGTCACAAAATTTTAAAGTGCAATTAATTGTATTCAAGGTACAAAATGCCATCCAATTAAAAGTAATGACTAATTATCAAACTGATTATCTGAATGACACACACACAAAAATGAGAAAATAACCCAACTATCATAACTGTAAACTAACACAAGACACTCTCACCTATCCCTATAAAACTACCAAATATTTACCAGTTACACATTTGAAGAAAATGATAAAAATTTAGAAAACAAACATACCAGGATTCAATTACCTAAATAGCTCACTGATTCTTTGTTGACTAAGAAAATATATATCCTTCAATGTCTGCAATGGATAGATTCATACTCCAACTTATCCAACTTGCCTAACAAATACTCATGCATATATGCACATATGCATCTGAACATGTACATATATACATGTCACAGTCATATAAACAATATATTTGCTGAATATATGAATATATATGCTTATATATTCTTTATTTGTGCACATGCATAGAAAGACAACCATATTTGCTAGCGTAACTTACTTGTTTGTGCCTTTTCCAGTAAAATCTATGATAAAAGAGGAACTTGAAATTTGATGAGAAAATTTAGCAAAACCTTAAGACAAAGAGAATGCCACAGAAAGATGTTCTATTTTAAAATGGTATCAAAAAAGATGGTGAATATAATAAAGGATATAACAGCTTTTATCATCTATTAAAATTTTATTTGCTTCTTCAAGTCAAAGAAATCACTATCTTCAAACCATGTATGAGTATTTTTAACTGTTTTGTGGGGTATTTTACAATTTATTCTTAAAGAACACAGAAAATAATCTCAAAAATTGTATTATAATGAATTCTACCCACATATATAAATTTAGGCCTAAATTTTAAAAAGCAAAAATCTATCATTCTATGTATATTTTTCAGAACATAGTTTATTTCAAAAGCAATAGCCTTTATTTTTAATGACTGCATTTTAGGACAACTATTTGAAGTCAGTTTCCTGCTTTGCAACATCAATATTTAAAAAGCTATGGGTCTTAAGTGAAAGAATATAAATTAATGCTAGCCCCCACTGGTGGATCTGAATATATAACTTATTTAAAGAAAATACCATGTATTAAGGTTCCTGTAAGATGTTAGACTCAGAAGAGCAGTGTGGACTCACCACTCTGTATACCTTTATTTTTGCATCAGTCCTGCATTTTTCTTTTCTCCAATGTGCTTCCTGGTTCCTCAGTTTCTCCAGGTCATTTAGCAGGTCAGTGCAGCGGGTACTTAATTTCTCATTTTCCTCCTCCAGATTTTTTATAACCAGTCTGTTTTGCTCTTCTTTATTCTGTACACAGTCCTTAGCATCCTGTAGAACAGTACCATAAGGACCGATAAACAAGAAAAAAAAAGTGAGAACTAATCAACAAAAATAAACTGTGCAGTTTTACCCTCACAGCAGCTTCTTCTACATTTGATGGCCAAGGTCACCTGTGTACTTTATTGGCCTCTTTTCATGGAGGTGGATGGGTCATATTTTTTCACTGGATGACAGCTTTGATGAGTACACATTTGCAAAGAGCCCATTAATTGATCAAGCTGCCTTTGATGCTGTCCCCAGCTATTTTTGAGACCCACACAGACATATCCTCCCAGACCTAGGTTTTATCAATTAATAATGCCAGAGCCATCAGAATCTAATTACAAGAAGCCACATATTCACACTCCTACTTTCTTAGCTCCATTTCTATCATTAACTATTTATCTATAAGTTATAAAGCTTGGAGTCTTAGCTTTAAAGCATCTTTATCAGAGTTTTTGCATGTTAGAAAACTGTGGTATATCAGGGCCTAAGGCAATTTTCCTCTAAGCCTGTCACTTTCTGTGCCTCAGAGTTTGACAAAGCTTCAAGGAAGACTTCAAAGCAAAGATACTGTAAACCTATGTACAAGTCAACACACCTTAACTTCTTGACTTTTATATTTAAGTTTCTTCTGTAAATCACTGAATTCTTTCCTCAAGAAAGTATTTTCTTCATCAACTGCAATCTTCATCTTTACAAGATCTTCTATTTCCTGTTTTAGAATTGATTCACTCTGAGGAAAAAAGTTAAACTACTGTTAAGCTGGTATCTCTATGAAAAAAAGAGCTTACTTTATAAGCTTTAGAATTTAATTTCCAGTGTTAGGACTAACTAGCTTTCCTAATAAAGTCCAATATTACAGTTCTTATTTCCTATGACTGTTCATGCATTTTTCACTTAAATGTACAAGTATGCACGTATCTATTAGTTTAAGATAAAAAACACATAAAAACTGAATACCCAACATTAAACCAGGGCTAGAGAAATGGTTCAGTGGTTAAGAGCACTGGCTACTGTTGCAGAGGACCCAGGTTCAGTTCCCAGCACTCATATGGCAGTTAATAATCATCTGTTAACTCCAGTTCCAGGGGTTCCAACAACACCCTCTTCTGGTCTCCACAGGCACTGCACACACAGGTGTACTTACATACACGCAGGCAAAGCACTCATTCACATAAAATAAAAATAAATAAATTTTATATATTAAGCCATATGTAGAAAGCAAACTTTCAGAATTCAAGTGTACAAAGGAAAAAAAAGCAAAAGTTTTTCAAACATTCTAATAATGAAAATGTTAAGTATAGATAAAATAAGAGTTATTTTCTTAGTTGAATGCCTTTCAGAAGAACAATTATGTTTTTATGAAGGCATAAAATCATTAAAAAATTAAAAAGTTAGTGAGTACTAAAATTTTTTGCTCTGTAGAAAGAATGTTAAAATTACAATAATTTTAGCTAAATACTCTTCACATTAACCAGATGCCTAAGTGATACCTAATTGGTGAATATACTGTATCTCAATTCTTAGCTTATTTTCTCTGAGAAAATGTACCCAAATTCATCCATATGGATGGATATAGTGATAATTCAAATACACTGGTGCAAAGCATGGCTTAATCATGTGAATATGCCATATTTATCTGTTTCTTGTCAGTGTATTTTTCATCTATTTCCACTTATAGAAAGAGGTGCAGAAATCAGGCAGAGTACTCTCAAGCACGTCTATAGATATACATGAGCAAAAATTACTCTCAAGTAGTACTTTTCAAACTATAGACTACAATCTAAGAATAGTTCATTAGTTCAAGTTAGTCATCAAATCAAGGTTTGAAAAAATGGAATATAATAGAAAATATCAAAATGATATGCACAGATTCTTAGCCAAAAAATCAATATCCATAAGAATAAAGTTGTAGGAATAAGCCAAGAATCTATATAAATTTAAATGTTTCCTAAAATTTGAATTTAATTTGGAATTTTAATTTTATTTAAATGATTAAATTCACATTTAATACAGGATTAGTGTATGTTTATCTGCATTATTTGCAGTAAGGGCAACTAGTATAAGAATTTTCATCTCACATTTTCATATACTAATTCATGACACATAATGTACTTCTTTCAGTATGGGCATCACATTAAAAAAAGTCTGAAAAGTATTCCCTAGATCGTATATAACTATAGGTGAAATTGTTAAATCAAACATTATATGCACATGAAGAGTTCCCATTATTCAATCTCTCCACCAACACTTAAGTCTAAGGCTAGAAAATTGTTTAATATTTTATTTCTTATTTTATGTATATGAGTCTATTGTCTGCATGTATGTAAGTTCACCTGTGTTGTACAATGCCCGTGGAGGTCAGAAGAGGGTGTTAGAGTCCTGAAACTGAACTTATGGATGGTTGTTAGCTGCCACTTGGGTGCTGGGAACCGAACTTGAGTCCTCTGCAAGAGCAGCCAGTGCTCTTAACCACTGAGCCATCTTTCCAGTACAAAGGCTAAAATTTTTACAAATCCAGGAGGCATAGGTGGCCACTGAACACAGTTCTAATGCTTATTTTCTGTTTTAATTATTGGGCCATATAAAAATGTGTCTGATATCAAACACAGAAAAAAACAGATGCCTAAAAAGAGTCCATTCACAAGTCACAGGCCATATTTCCACTCTTATGCAAGAGTTGTCTTCCTTCAAGATTTGATGTCCAAGCTTCTCTGTTCTTCAGATTTGCACAGCTGCACCAATATTCTGTAATTCCTGACATTTTAATTCTTTTTTATTGTGGGAAAGACTTTTATTAATGGGCATCATCTGAACTAATGACTTAACTCCAGCAAAAACATGTGCAATCTTGGGTGTGATGAAGGGGCAATCTCCTTGGCAACCTCAGTTTGGTACTCTACCCAAAAAGATAATGAATAAATATGAGTATTCTTGAGGATTCATACATCAAAGCACTGCAAACACCACACTCACCCATCTCTATTGGACAAAGTGGAGACTGGGAAAGGATGTGTGACCTAGGATGAATGAGATACTAGGGATGAAAAGGCCAGACGGTATGTTAAGATTAAAACATAAAGCCAAGGGGCTGGAGAGATGGCTCAGCAGTTATGAACACTGCTTGTTCTTGAAGGAGACCCGGGTTCAAATCCCAGCACCCACACAGCAGCTAACAACTGTCTATAACTCCAGTCCCAGGGGGTCCAACAGCCTCTTCTGATCTCTGCAGGCATGGAATGACACGGATGAACATACCTACATGTAGGCAATCCATGCATAAACATAAAACAAAAATAAATAAATAGGGCTGGAGAGATGGCTCAGTGGTTAAGAACACTGGTTGTTCTTGCAGAAGACCCAGTTTCAAATCTCAGAATCCATATGGCAGTTAACAACTGTCCATAACTCCAGTTCCAGGGGATCCTACAATGTCTTCTGTCTTCCATGAGCACTGCATGACACAAGCGCACTTACCTACACAAGGCAATACATGCATACACAGTGGTGCACGCCTTTAATCCCAGCACTCGGGAGGCAGAGGCAGGCGGATCTCGGTGAGTACAAGGCCAGCCTGGTACACATAGTGAGTTCCAGGACAGCTGGGGCTACAGGGAGACCTTGTCTCAAAAAAACCAAAAAAAAAAAATAATAATAATAAATAAAATTTTTAAAAATTAAAGAAAAATTTTTATCTGTCTTCTTTTCACTGTCATAAATTTATTTTTATGTTATAACAAAAATTTATATAATTTTTATCACCCTCCCAAACAAAATCTCCAAAGTTATACATGATAAATGGGAAATCATGACACTAAGATTAAAGTTACCACAGGAAAATTAAAGATCAGTATGTTTTATGGATGTAAATATCGCAGAGGTCAACAAAATACTAGCATTGTGATGTTCCTATACATTAAAATATTAAGTACCATGTTGAGGTATAACAATTTCAGATATGAGAGATGGGAGCAGGTGAGATTTAAATATACATTGAACATGCTAATAAAAATAGAAGCTAAAATACCAAAAGAAGAGCATATTGATACAAAAGAATCTTTTAAAAATATTCCAGAAATGTCTAGCTTGGATATTGTTTTTGTTAATTATTTCTTTAATAACAACAAAATTAGAAGAAGTATTTTATTACAATAGCACTGACATATTCAATAACAACTTTGAGAGCTAAGATGTATCTTTTTCAGAATTGGCTGTAAATTTTTAGGTTTACATTTGAATTATTACAGTTATACAATATAGTACTCAGTATAAACCCTATAAGACATAAAGTTAAATGAGGTTTTAACCTTTAAAAAAGATCTCCATTTCATTATTAAAATACACAGTTTCATACAGAAAAATTCACTTTCAATGCAACCGACATTAAGATGTTTGCGCATGCATTTCTAATCTCTATATATCTGATCACTACTATGATAGTTGGTTACTTTCTGATCTCCATGGCATCTGACCATGGACATAAAGTCATCAGGTAGATTTCAATGGTAATGTTTTTCACATCTACTAATTATTATTCTTAAATTTTTATCATTTTTTTAAATTTTAATAACTACATGATTAGAAGAAGCATTTCACTACAGATTTAACATATTCAGTAACACACTCCAGAGCAAGAGTACATCTCTTTCACAAGTGGGTGCAAGGTTCTACGTTCACAGGTGAGTTAATACCATTACACAATACTGAACTCAGTACAAGCCCTGTAAAACATAAAATTGAATGAGTTTTTAACCTTTAAAAAAGATTTCCATTTCATTTTAGAATACATTGCTCCTTGCAGAAAGACTCATTGTTTTTGCTATTAACACTGAGGTGTTGGTGCATGCATCTCTAATCTGTATGCATCTGATTATTACCAGTCATAATCAGATGCAGTTGGGCCATTGGCACCTGTGTATGTCTGTAAAGTCATCGGATAGATATCGATGGTAATGTTTACCACCTCTACTAATTAGCATGATGTAAATTTCTAAGCTTCTTCCTCAAATATAATACATATTTGAAAATTCATTGATTTTTTTTTGTGTATATCGCACAGAACATCCCAAACCATCTTACTCAACTATACACACACTTCCCAGATGGCACCCTCCCATAGCCTCCCTCCCCCAACTAGAGCCCTTATATTCTGATATCCCTGCTACTGTCTGCTGTGTTGTTGGTACCCCAGCCAATCCCCACTACTTGCCCTTCTGTTGAATCTAGTCAGGCTATGTAGAGGTCTTTGTTTTAGGAGGGTCAGCTGTTCCTCTTCTAGCAGCAATCAGTTGTCAATATTCCTTTAGATAAGAATGGGGTATGCTGTTCATTTTCCAAGTTCTATGCTGGGTTACAATCTGGGAGTCCCTTTGGTCACTGTGGCCAACAACTCAAAAGAAGGTATCTCCTATCTGACACTGTTGCTTGTTATGTAGCCTTAGGCTAGGCATAGGGACTCTTAAGAAATTATATTGACCCTTTAATCTTTGGTTATACTTTCCTTTTGGATGTTTAAGACCTTACAATTGGTCCAGATAAACCAATTTATTTTTACTCTTAAGGTAATTTGAGGATCTGTTCCTCAGGGGTCACATGGGCTTGAGAGGATTTTACCAGTTCCATCTATATGAATATAAATCAATGGTCCTGCTCAACCACGTCTGGCTCCCCTTGGAAGCATGAATGACATATTTCCTCTGAGTTGGACCTCCTCTTTGTAGACTGGACAATGGT